GATAGCTCATCGTTTAGCATGTCCACATACACATCAGCAGAATGGTTCAGTCGAACGTAAGCATCGTCATATTGTTGAAGCTGGTCTTACTCTTTTGGCCCATGCATCTGTTCCGTTTCGGTTTTGGAGTGATGCTTTCACCACCGCATGCTTTCTCATCAACCGTACTCCTACTCGTGTTTTAAACATAAAGACTCCCATTGAGGTTCTCCTTAATGAACAACCTGATTATACCTTTCTCAAGGTATTTGGGTGTGCTTGCTGGCCGCATCTTCGTCCATATAACAAGCGCAAGCTTGAGTTTCGTTCTAAGAAGTGTGTTTTTCTTGGCTATAGCTCTCTTCATAAAGGTTACAAATGTCTTCATGTTCCCACTAATCGTGTCTATATATCTCGGGACGTCGTGTTTGATGAGCATGTTTTTCCCTTTGCCAACCTTCATGTGTCCACTGTCGAACCACCATCCCTGCATTCATCCTCTGTTGCTTCTGACCAATTTGATGATGTTGCATACTCTCCTTTGCTGTTACCTAACCATGGTGCAGGAACCGGACGTGGAGCTCGTTTGGAGCTGTTGGAGGATTCACCATCATCGTCGTCGTCTTCTGGTGGGCACGTCGATCGCCCGATGTTGCATGGCATCGATTCGCGTGCCCATGCATGGTCACCCGACGAGCCCGTCGCGCCGAGCATCTCCACTGCTCGGTCCGTTTCGCCAGCGGCCGCCGAGTCGCCCGCGGCCGCCGAGTCGCCCGCGGCTCAGCCCGTCACGCCGTCTTCGCCTGCGGCTCGGCCCGTCACGTCGTCTTCGCCCGTGGCTCGGGTCCTCACGTCGCCTTCATCAGCGGATCGGCCCGCGACACCGGCCGCGCCACGGCCCACTATGCCGAGCTCGCCATCGGCCCGGTCTGTGATGCCGGAGTCGCCAGCTGCTTCGTCTGCTCTGCCGGTTTCGCCGGTGGGTCGGCCTTCTTCGCCAACCGAGTCCGAGGCTACCGTGACTGGCTCCTCGTCACCGGCTAACTCGTCAACGTCGCCGTCCTCCAGCCCGTTGCAGGCTGCTCCGTCGACCTCGGTGGTTCCTGTGTCCCGACCACATACACGCAGTCGTAGTGGCATTTTCAAACCTAAGGAACGTAAGGATGGTACGGTTGCTTGGTTGGCTGCTTGTTTGGCTGCTGCTGTTGCGGATCCATCTTCTGAGCCTCGCTCATATCAGGCTGCCCTGCGCATTCCACATTGGCGAGAGGCTATGGAGCAGGAGTTTCATGCTCTTCTTCGTAACAAGACATGGACTCTCGTTCCTCCACCACCACGGGTAAATGTTATTGACTCAAAATGGGTATTCAAAGTGAAGAAGCATTCGGATGGATCTATTGAGCGTTACAAAGCGCGACTTGTTGCTCGCGGTTTTCGACAGCGTCATGGTCTTGACTATGAGGACACCTTCAGTCCTGTCGTCAAGCCTACCACTATTCGGCTTCTTCTCTCCATTGCTGTTTCTCGTGGTTGGTCACTTCGTCAACTTGATGTGCAGAATACTTTTCTACATGGATTTTTGGAGGAAGAGGTTTATATGAAACAGCCGCCTGGTTTCTCTGATCCTGATCGTCCTGACTATATCTGTCGCCTTTCCAAAGCACTATATGGTTTGAAGCAAGCTCCTCGTGCCTGGCATGCCCGCCTTGCCTCTGCCCTTCGTGCTCATGGGTTTGTGTCGTCTACTGCTGACACTTTGTTATTTCTTCTACAGAAGCCAGAAGTCACTATGTATCTTTTGGTATATGTCGATGATATTATCCTTGTCAGCTCTTCTCAGTATGTTGCTGATGCTCTTGTCTGCTCTCTTGGTGCTGATTTTGCGGTCAAAGATCTTGGGAAGCTTCACTACTTTCTTGGAGTTGAGGTCACTTCTCGTGCTACTAGTCTTGTCCTTACGCAGAAGAAGTACTCCTTGGAGTTGTTACAGAGAGCTGGCATGCTGAAGTGCAAACCGACCACCACACCCATGTCGTCTACCGACAAGATAACAGCTGTTGATGGTGAGCTTTTGTCTCCTGCGGATGCCACAGAGTACAGGAGCATTGTTGGTGGACTTCAGTACTTGACGATCACGAGACCAGATATCTCTTATGCTGTTAACAGGGTTTGTCAGTATCTTCAGGCTCCCAGAGATACTCATTGGGCTGTTGTTAAACGCATTCTTCGTTATGTTCAGTTCACCCTGACATTTGGTATGCATATTCGGCCAACTTCCTCTCGGGTCCTTTCGGCCTTCTCTGATGCAGATTGGGCTGGTAGCCTAGATGACAGGCGATCCACGGGGGGTTATGCAGTATTCTTTGGCTCTAATTTAATCGCCTGGAGTGCTCGGAAACAGGCTACTGTGTCACGTAGCAGTACTGAAGCTGAGTACAAGGCTGTGGCTAATGCTACTGCAGAGATTATTTGGGTGCAGTCTTTGCTTCAGGAGTTGGGTTTGTCTCAACCACAGCCTTCTATTTTTTGGTGTGATAACATCGGTGCTACATACCTTTCTGCAAATCCAGTATTTCATGCCCGAATGAAACACATTGAAGTTGACTATCACTTTGTACGGGAACGTGTATCACAGAAGCAACTCCAGATCAAGTTTATCTCATCTAAGGATCAACTTGCAGACATCTTCACTAAGCCTTTACCGCTGCCACAGTTTGAGGCTTGTAGGCGCAATCTTACCCTTCTCAGTTCTTTAGAAAGTGGCTAAGATTGAGGGAGGGTGTTAGACTATGTATAGCTTCTGTACCTATGTACGTATATGGTACATATTGTAACACAACCATTATATATAATGAGATAAGCCACCCCTAGAGGGTTGTGCTGGTTCCCCAAAACTTATTGTCTTACATGCGTATACTCGTCGGACACCGACGCCTGGGGCGAGCCGACCTTGATGCATGGCGAGTGTTGCATGTCCTTCACATATTATTCCAGTGTGCTTATTGGGAGGTCTCTAATCTACTTCTTGTCCGATGGTGGGTTGGTCTTGGAGTATGACCTGGCAAGGCACAGGCTGATTTGGTTCGATGTACCACACTCCTGCAGCACCAAGGATGTATTTGATTGCAACCTCATGATTGCAGAGAACGGTGGACTGGGACTCGTCGAAGAATTGAATCCGCATCTGCAGTTGTGGTCAAGAGAGGCTGATGCCCGATGGGTACCGGGCCGGCTCATCTACTTGCAAAGTTTGTCCATAAACGGTGCTCCAATGGATGCAGCATGTCCAGTCCATGTGTTGGGCTTTGCCGAGGGAGCAAACGTCATTGTTGTGACCACATCTGCTGGCGTTTTCTCAATCCAAGTACAATCACTGCATGCAAACAAGGTGTGTGATGAGACCAAAGGGTGTGATGATTTTGGCTATGGTAATATGATTCCAATTGTGGGATATTACACTCCTGTACCCAAGTTGAGCACATGAAAAAAGGGGTTATGATATAGAGGTGGTATCATGGTTATTTAGCAGCTTAACCGCCTGAATGTCCTGTTTACCAACTTGTGAAATAATAAAGCTTTTGAACTATCGATAGTTAACACTGCTTTCTAAGTATTTTGAAAAAAGACACTGCTTTCTAAGTATTGAATTGCATGTCTGATTTCAATTATTCTCTGAAAGAATTGGATTGCATGGAATGTGTTGTTAGTTCTTAATGTAGATTTCCATTGGATAAGACCGTATTCAGGTGAATAAAAGAGTACACATTCACTTGCAGGTCAATTGATTGGGTGTCACCTTGTAACCAAAACAGGAAGGTGTGGCTACTACCAGGTGTACCCACACTGATACGATCACAATATGCAAGCATGCTGCCTCATCATTCAACATGCATAAAAAAAGGCCCACCTCACCATATGCAACTATGCATATTAAAATTCCACTTTAACATGCAAACATGCATGCATGTAAAATTCAATTCTATTATGCATTTATGCTATTTACATTTAATTCTTATACACTTTCAAAAACTACTATTTCAAATATTAATGTTCCATATAATCAAAACCTTATTGAAATATTGCAAAATATTCCTGCAACAACGTGCAGGGCATCATCCAATTTATATAGTCAGCACATCCTTCTCTCGGATACTTCAAAATTTTCTCCGGTACAAACTAGATACTCCATTCTAAAATAGATGACTCAACTTTGTACTAAACTTTGTACTAACTTTAGTACAAAGTTGAGTCATCTATTTTATAACGAAGGGAGTACGTTGCAAATCTTCAGAACCAGCAAACTGGTTGAACTTGTGTAGGTATAATGCTGTCTCATGTCATCCGTATCCCAGCAAATCAGCCAAGCTTTTAATTCTTGGTTATGATCAAACAGACTGTTCTATTAGCACGCTGACACACAAGTCACACACCATTGATTCAAGAAAACCTAACTCAAACTGATCTGACATTTCCATCTTGGCCATGAAGAAACTACCGTACAGCATGGCACACAAATCTGCACATGTCATTGTTTGAAGCAGCATAACGTGTAGGCAGCTAAACATTCCTAGACTGAAGGGAAAATCATATACCTGTTCAGTGCACATGGATGTTTTCGCACAAATCACTAGCTCATATGCAAATCAGCAACCTGCATGTACCGCTGCCTCTACTTCAGCCAACCATCAGCACACAAACTTAAACACAGCACAGAAAACTATGATCACGAACGGCGGCAAAATGACCAAACTAACCAACCAAGCAAGTAGGATAACTCGTGTGCACCGATTAATAGTTACAATAATATGCAGCTAATTAACCAGGAACAGGAGGATAGTTGAACCCATCATGCAGTGATAAAGAGACAGTAGAAAGTTCTCTAGCTAGATAAAGAGACAGCACAAAGTTCTCTAGCTGTCAACAAAGCGTCCGTCTCCATCCTACCATTTACAAGTCTCATAACGCGGTGCCATCCCTTGTCGAAGATAGATGGTGAAGGACATGATTATGTCAGGCAACAACTACTTATAAAAGTGCTGCATACTTCTCACTCTTTGAAGAACACGAACGTACTCAAAGTATTTACCGGAGTCCATCCCCATAGTTGCGTTTACTGTTGTCCCACCTCTATATGAACTGTAATTTCCGCCAACAACCAAGTCAAAGCCACCAAATTCCTTAAATAGGTCCTCAAGTGCATCGGTCTTTAGCTTCCATATGCCATTTAGTTGTCTCAGAACTCCGCTCTGCTCTGTTTTTGCCCACCATCTTTTCAGAATTTTCCTGTTCACATCAGACTCTTCAACAGACACTACACACTTTAGTGGAATACCGAGACGATGAAGCGCAATTTCTGCACCCCCAACTCCACTATAGATGGATAGTACCCTCAAACCATCTGGATAGATGTCTTTTAGAACTGACAAAAGATAAGCAATGGTGTCCGTTTGAAAAGCGTATTTCATAGCAGCAATCCTGTCCGGTGGGTTTAGGCCAAACAGATTTGTATGGTTTGATGGATAACCTAATATCCGCTCCATTTGATTTGGCTGCAGATGGCCTAGCCGGTCTTGACCAATCCAGATAAGATTTGCCATCTTGCATTGGTGCAAGATCTGCGCTCGTTTTTCTTCTGAAAGAAATCCTCGTGAATCTTTTATGGTCTTTCCCAACATCTCACAAAGTTGTTCAATTCCTGCCACCTCTGAAGTAACACTACCAATATGTTTTCTGGTGTCCCATGTGGGCCAGTAATGTCTTGCGGAAGGCACTGCATCCTCAATTGTCATTGGTGACTTTGGAACCGCAACATGCCTTCTCTCTGTTGGAAGGTTATGAAGGTAACCTTCCCTTCGCATCAAAGCCGAGAAAAGCTGACTATTTATAAACTCGGGCTGCACACCGGACAAGAAACCCGATATTTCAGACCACGCATCTTTGGTGATGTTAACAACATTTCCATAGAGGAAGAAGGGAGGCTTGGCAAGGTCGCCACGGACATTTGCATGAGGGCCCGATGTCATTTCATAATCTTCTTCCTTCAAATAACCATCACCAGCTGACCCAACACCGCCACTTAACCATGGAGTAGGTTGATTGACAGCATGACTACTTGAGGCTCCTCTATCATCTCTGAATATATGCTTGGCCTTTTTAACTCTTTTGTTGTCATCGTCATCATCATAATAGTTCAACCTCTGATGATATGTTGAATATTCAGTTTCTTGGTCCCCTTGCTCCCCTAGAAATTCAGACTCAATTTTCACCTACAATAGAACATAAGAGGCCAGATTAGAAATGAGAGTGGTTATTAATTGGATTTTAATATATGTGCCACATACAAAAAGAGTTATAGGAACATATGAGCACTGAAATCAATGATTACAGAGTTGTATATTTTTTAAATCATGAAACAAAACCTAGGAAACCAACTGGAAACATCAGAAAGAACATCATAGGAACGTTTATGTAAACAGCTGATCTAACCTATAACCTTGCCATATATGCTACACAGACCTACTGTATACAAGATGACTTCTAGCAAAAATCTGGAACAACATACGTCTGTCAAATTCAACGCACAAAGTCTGTAGCAGTGAGAAATGGATGTCAATCAGTTACCTGTTTCTGCTCAATGGTACTGGCAATACGTCTTGCAAAAATTGAGTCAGCAAGCTCCTGAACCGCTGCTTCCTGACCTGAAAAGAGTAGGAAACATGACACTTAAAGGATTGTTTGTAGGAACTCACGAAAACAGTCCAACAGCAGGAGACTACAATATATTCATCAGCTCAAAAATGTCAGATTGGAACATTAAAATATGTGGATTACAACTGTGCTTTTGTCCTAACATCGTGTTTCATAAGTTCTGCACAAGTGTGCCTGGGAGCTAAAATTAGCCTCTGATAATGTCAGTATTATCGAAAACGGCTTTTGCCCGGGTTTATAGATAAAACACCCAACCAAGCATCACACAAAGGTAACACACACACACACCAACCCTGGTGATGATTCCAGCTATACAAGAGAAGCACAAGTAAGGCCAAACAGGAGACCAGTAAACCGGAACTAAGTAAAGCTAAGCTAAGCACGTGAACAAAAGGTGCTAGCTTGATCCTGACGATGAACGTAAATCTTCCTAGAGTGCCTAGACACGCATCGCCCAGCGGGACACCACCCCCAAGGTGCACACCTAGTGACAGGCCAGGTGGTACATGATACGAGCTGTTTGAAGGAGAGGTAAATGGAGCAGTGCCTTCAAGGAGAAGAATGGTGTCTGTGGACGTCGCCGTCGTCGACATGAACATGGTCATGCAAGGCATTCACCAGCGCCCCAGCCTCCAACCACGGAGACCATAAGTGACAACCACCGATCACACCCAGTGGACCTTGGCAAGTGGAGATACCTCCGACAACCCTTGTGGCATGACGCTGATCCCAGCAACCCCCTTGGTGTCGTGATGGCCGTCCAAACTAGGGGTAGACCAAAAGCTCGTAGCTTGCGAGTTTAATGAATGCTCGATAGATCGACTCGTGAAACTCGTGAAACTCATAGCTCGCTTCTTAATGAACAGAAGCAATCACTGGTTTTAGCTCGTTAAGCTTAACAAGTGACCTAACAATTTCATGAGTAGCTCGTTAATACAACACAACGGGTATTCTTGTGTTAAGTTACTACATTTTGTGGCACCTCAACCCTTCTATTCCACCAAATCAACCTAACCCAACCACGGGAAAGAATAGCGTGCTATAGCGTGTAGAGAATTGTCTCGCTAAATAAACCAGTGTACAATGTCTCGCTAATAGCGTAATTTAAAGGGCGACGCTATTTTGTATACCACGCTATTTTTTCCCTTGAACCTAGCACATCAAGGACAACAACTAGCGTACCTCCACATGTGGTCACTTTCTTCCTTCATAAAAACGCATTGTAGCTGAATCAAAAGGGGCTAATGCCTATTAACTATTAGAGTTATATATATTTAGATGTGTATACTTTGTATTTTCCCCATTCTATAAGGGGCTTTCTGCATATTGTACTGCACATGTACATGTATATATATTGGCCTATGGCCACCTAGAAATATAAGTGGCATATTTCCTAACATGGTATTAGAGACCCAAAAAAAATTTCACACGTGCAACTTGTGCTTGAACCCATCTTGTGCCGCCGCTTCCTCCTCTTCAACAGTTGCGCTGCTCCCGATGCTTCTGCCTCTGGCCGCTTTCTAGAGCTGTTGTTGTCCTCCACTGGCCGCCGCCTCTATCCAATCCCCAATCTCTGTTGCCGCCAGTCTCTCCGCCTATGTTGCCTTGTCCCATTGTTGTCAATAGTGGCATCATCGCGTTGGTCACTTGTGTGGCTCTCGTCTCTCATTCTTAGTTCCACATGGTCTTCTTGGATCCGTCTCCGACAGCGTGTCTTTAGACTATGAGGGTTGCCGACTTGGTAAACAAGTCCAATTACCTTACCTTATCCTCATAGCGGGACTCTGTTTCAAGGTCCTTTCGACCATGTTCACTCTGATGTATAGGGTCCAGCTCCCTTTGCCTCAAAAGGAGCCATCACTACTATATTATATATATAGGTATTTCTCTCGACACACCTGGATATATTTTATGTCTTCTTATCTATCTATATATAAGTGTTTTGCTGTCATGGTTCACACTCAATTCTCTATGCCTATTTGTCTGTTTCGGCTGATTTTTCTGAAGAGTATATCTCCAAGATGTTGTGTGGAGTCCTTGCTGAGCAAGGTACTCTTGCTCAGTTCTCTTATCCTGGTGCTCATGCTCATAATGGTGTGGCTAAGCACAAGCATCATCGCCTTCTTGAGACGACTCATGCGTTAATGATCACTACCTCTCTTTTCCCCAACTTTTGGGCTAAGCTTCCCTCCAGTTCCAGCTATCTCAGCAGCATTCAACATGCTCTGCTCTATAGGGCGGCATTCCTTTCGGGGGTCTTTTTGATCGCTCTCCTGATTATTTGACGCTTCTTTTGTTTGGTTGTCTTTACTATGTTCTTCTTGCCCCCAATGAACGCACCAAACTGACCACTCAGTCTAGGATACAATGATGAGCATAAGGGCTATCGTTGTTGGGATCTTGTCATTCATTGAATGCGTATTTCCGAGATGTGACTTTTGATGAGTCCTGGCCCTTCTACCCACGTCCATCTTCCTCGACCTTTTCATTGGAGGATATATCTTTCCTCACTTTTCCCGACACACCTCTATCACTCATGTTGAGCCCTTGTCCACGCATCCCATTGTTCCTGCTTCTCCGACTGTTGCAGATCCAACGCTGCCATCTCCTAGGGTTTCCTCATCTCACTTGTCACATGATTCTGCACCTTCATCCCCTGTGACTTCCCCATCTCTAGCACTCGAGTGTATACGACGGTGCGTGCTCGTATTCTTCCTTTTTTCTCACTATTATACTCATCATACACGTGTTGTAGATGAGTATACCAATGAGCCATCTACTTCTTTTGTACCCTCTTCCTCGTCTCAGCTTACTTATGCCTTACGCCATCACCCGCATCCGCCTGTTGACCCAATGGTTTTCCTAACGTTGTTGTCCTTGAGCCAACTTTTTATCATGATAGAGTTGTTCATCCCGAATGGCAGCTTGCGATGGCATAGGAGATTCCTGCTCTTGAGTGCACTAGCACATGGGATCTTGTTTCTCTTCTTGTGTTTGTCCCATCACTTGTACAAAGCTCGTCTTGTGGCTTGTGGCTTTCAGCATGATCATGATCGTCATTATGATGAGACTTTTGCTCTTCTGGCCCATATGACCACTGTTGGCACAATTCTTGTTGTGGCCTCAGCTTGATGTTAAGAATGCCTTTCTTTAATGGTGAATTTCGTAAGGAGATTTACATGCAGCCACCACTTGGGTATTTTGTCCCTGATGTCATGACCTGCCATCTTCGTCGCTCTCTATATGGCCTTAAGCAAGCCCCTCGTGCGTGGTTTGAGTGTTTCGCCCCTATGGTAATTGTTGCTGGTTTTCCAGTAAGTGCTCATGATCATGCGTCGTTTGTCCGACTCTCTGCTCGTGGTCAGACTCCTCTTCTATATGTTGATGTTGATGACATGATCATCACTAGCGACGACCCTTAGTAGATTGCCTTTGTGAAGGCATGTGAGCAGTTTCTCATTCTTATCTTAGCCCACTTCGCTACTTTCTTCGGATTGAGGTTTCTTCTACCTCTAATGGCTTCTTCATTTTCAAAGAAAAATATATCCAGGATATCCTTGCTCGTGCTGTTGTTACTGGTGAGCGCACTGTTTAGACCCCATGGAGCTCAATGTTCACCTCTGTGCTTTTGATGGTGACCCTTGTTTGATCTGGCGCATTATCATCGTCTTGTTGGGATTAGTGTCCATCTAGTTGTCACTCATCCGGATATCTCCCATCATGCCCATACTTTTGAGTCTTTTGTCTCTTGCTCCCACTTCACTAGTCACCTCCTTGTTCTCTGATATCTTCATGGCACAATCTCTCACCGTATGTTCTTTCCCTGCTCGAGTTCATTACAGCTTCACTACATGGACTAGTCACCCTGGGCTAGGGCTAGTGTTTTTCTTGGTGGTTCTTTCACTGCCTTGAAGATGAAGAAACAGACTACAATTTCCCGTTCGAGTGTAGAGGCCAAGTGGCGAGCTCTAGCTCTTTTGACAGCAGAGTTGACGTGATTACGGTGGTTATTTCGGGAATTTGGCGTTTCTATCTAAAAAGCATGGACAAGACTAATATAGCCGAATAGCTGTCCTAGTAACAACAGGACACAGCGATACGCGCGGACACGACGTATCCAGCAATATCCCTTTTCTTTTGGGTTCATAAAAGAAATAAAAGAAAAAAGGGGTACATCAGGGATACTGGGCCTCTACCAATGGTTAGGCACGAAGGAAGGCGAAAGGGACATCTATAAGATGGCCAAGATCCGAGAGAGGAAGACAAGGGATATTGGCCAAGTCAAATGCATCAAGGACGGAGCAGACCAACTCTTGTTGAAGGACGAAGAGATTAAGCATAGATGGCAGGAGTACTTCGACCAGTTCTTCAATGGGGAGAATCAAGAGCTCTACCACTAAACTGGACGACTCCTTTGATGAGACCAGCATGCATTTTGTGCGGCGAATCCAGGAGACTGAGGTCAAGGAGGCTTTAAAAAAGATGAAAGGAGGCAAGGCGATGGGCCCTGATTGTATCCCCATTGAGGTGTGGAAAGGCCTCGGGGACATAGCGATAGTATGGTTAACCAAGCTTTTCAACCTTATTTTTCGGGCAAACAAGATGCCAGAAGAATGGAGACGGAATATATTAGTACCAATCTTCAAGAACAAGGGGGATGTTCAGAGTTGTGCTAATTACCGTGGAATTAAGCTGATGAGCCATACAATGAAGCTATGGGAGAGTCATTGAGCACCGCTTAAGAAGAATGACAAGCGTGACCAGAAGTAAGTTTCGTTTCATCCCTGGGAGGTCGACCATGGAAGCCATTTTCTCGCTACGGCAACTTACGGAGAGATATAGGGAGCAAAATAAGTACTTGCATATGGTGTTCATTGACTTGGAGAAGGCCTATGATAAGATATCGCGGAATGTCATGTGGTGGGCCTTGGAGAAACACAAAGTCCCAGCAGAGTACATTACCCTCATCAAGAACATGTACGATAATGTTGTGACGAGTGTTCGAACAAGTGATATCGACACCGATGACTTCCCAATTAAGATAGGACTGCATCAAGGGTCAGCTTTGAGCCCTTATCTTTTTGCCTTGGTGATGGATGAGGTCACAAGGGATATACAAGGAGATACCCCATGGTGTATTCTCTTTGTGGATGATGTGGTGCTAGTTGACGATAGTCGGACGAGGGTAAATAGGAAGTTAGAGTTATGGAGACAAACCTTGGAACCGAAAGGGTTTAGGCCTAGTAGAACTAAAACCGAGTAGTCGGACGAGGGTAAATAGGAAGTTAAGAGTTATGGAGACAAACCTTGGAACCGAAAGGGTTTAGGCCTAGTAGAACTAAAACCGAGTACATGATGTGCGGTTTCAGTACTACTAGGTGCGAGGAGGAGGTTAGCCTTGATGGGCAGGTGGTGGCTGAGAAGGACACCTTTCGATATTTGGGGTCAATGCTGCAGAAGGATGGGGGTATTGATGAAGATGTGAACCACTGAATCAAAGCCGGATGGATGAAGTGGCCAAGCTTCTAGCATTCTCTATGACAAGAGAGTGCCACAAAAGCTAAAAGGAAGTTCTACAGGACAGTGGTTCGACCCGCAATGTTGTATGGCGCTGAGTGTTGGCCGACTAAAAGGCGACATGTTCAACAATTAGATGTGGCGGAGATGCGTATGTTGAGATGGATGTGTGGCCACACCAGGAAGGATCGAGTCTGGAATGATGATATATGAGATAGAGTTCAGGTATGGAATGATGATATATGAGATAGAGTTGGGGTAGCACTAAGTGAAGGGAATCTTGTCCAATATCGTCTGAGATGGTTTGGGTATATTCAGCCTCTAGAAGCTCCAATGCATAGCGGACGGCTAAAGCGTGCGGAGAATGTCAAGAGAGGTCGGGGTAGACCGAATTTGACATGGAGGACTTCCGTTAAGAGAAACCTGAAGGATTGGATTATCGCCAAAGAACTAGCTATGGACATGGGTGCGTGGAAGCTTGCTATCCATGTGCCATGGCCATGAGTTGGTCGCGAGATCTTATGGGTTTCACCTCTAGCCTACCCCAACTTGTTTGGGACTAAAGGCTTTGTTGTTGTTGTTGTCAGGGATACTGGACAAATATGGCGTGAGGGGAGATGGGAACGTTAGCCGCTGGTAGGGAAGAAGAGCCTGGCAGAGTGGAAGATGGGAAGGTGGCTGCTGATGAGGAAGAAGCTCTAGAAAGATGGGGATTGCGGCATGTGGCGAGGAAGAAGGCGAGGAAGAAGATTCAGGCACAAGGGAAGATGGGGATGCAAGTTGTCGAGAAGCAAGAAGGTACAGGCGCATCTCATGTTCTACACTTCTTTGGCGGCTAGAGGAAGTGGAGAAAGAGCATGGGAATAGGAAGGGCTGGAAAAGCTGACCTAGTCTAGGTTTTCTAAGGTTGGATCTTATATGGGCTATGAGTGGAGGATTACATGTACATGGGCTTTTGGTGGAGGGTCTTCTTACGTGAATGGAATGCTCAAAGCCATTTATCAATGAAAATGGGGCAACATATATGCAAAACTCTTAACTAAAAAATTCTCTCATTCAAAATTATCATTTAATCTTTGTTGCATGCTATTATTTTTCTAAATACTTACATATGCTGCAATATTACCAAATGGCTGTTTTTGGAAAATGTTGAATCTTGTGTCCCCGCACTCTTGTTTGACAGTACAAGTGTTGTTAGTATTGCGAATGACCCTGTGAAGCATGAGCTCACCAAGCATATTGGTGTACGTGCTTCTTTTGTGTGCGCTGGTGTGCACTATCAGTTTATTGCTCTTCAGTACAAAAATGCATTCAGAGTCAGGGCGTGGTTTGGTAATACGCCAATTTGGCCAACTATTAGTGGGTAAAATGATTTCTTTCACCTCACAATCCCAAATAATTCGCTTAGGAGTCAGTACATAAAGATTTAATTTCATTTCTGCGATTTGTTCTCCTCTTCTAAGGTTATAGCTTTCGTGCTAGCTTCATCGATGTTACCCACCAAATAAAAAGCCTGTTCAGGTAGGCCGTCTAATTCTCCGAAAAGGATTAGTTGAAATCCCCTAATAGTTTCCGCAAGAGCAACATACTTTCCTGAAGAACCAGTAAAAACTTCTGCCGCAAAGAACAGTTGTGATAAGAAACGCTCAATTTTTCTTGCTCTTGCTACAGTTAAATGATCCTCTTTCGATAATTCATCCAAGCCAAGAATTGCGATAATGTCCTGAAGTTCTTTGTAACGTTGTAAAGTTTCCTTAACTCTTTGCGCAGTTTCATAATGTTCGTTGCCAACGATCCGAGGCTGTAACATAGTCGAGGTTGAATCTAAAGGATCTACTGCTGGATAAATACCCTTGGAAGCTAATCCTCTGGAAAGTACGGTAGTAGCATCCAAATGTGCAAATGTTGTGGCGGGGCAGGGTAGGTTAAATCGTCTGCAGGTACATAAACTGCTTGAATCGAAAAATTGGCAGATTTCTTTACAAAGGCTCATACTAGAGCACAACATGACTTCTATATAAACTCATTGTTGTTGATCCACCATGAGTTTGAGGGGGGGGATAGAGTTATATATATTTAGTTGTGTATCCTTTGTGTTTTCTACATTCTATAAGGGGCTTTCTACATATTGTACCGCACATGTACGTGTATATATACCGAGTACTCATGACCTAGCATGAGAGCTCAAGAGCTTAATGAGCACCAGATGAACAGAGCCGGTTAGAGTTTTTTGCTTGTTAACGAGCTTAATGCCGAGCAGCTCGTTAATCCACCCCTAGTCCAAACCAAGAAGCACGCCATCTAAAAGAAGCCCAGAACATTGTGCGTCGGGAAGGCCCTAGAGTGAACATTGACATCACCACACATGCAAGAGCACCGCAGAAGGGCACAATGAAGGAGGGCGACCGCAGCAAAAGCCGAGAATACTAGACGACCTAGAGAGGAGCATGGAAGCAACACCTCAAAGGAGAACGATGTTAGGCCTTGCGCAGCTTCTACTGATATCTCATCCTCCATAGGCACCGACAAGCAACATCGCGAACATCATGGGAGAACAAGAAGCTCGTCACCCACTGTCAAGCCCAACAACCAGAACCTCGCAGACAAGGAGCTTGCCTCGGAAGCACAGTCACCTCTTCGGCAGCCTAACAAACGAGCCCCAACAAGAGCAATCTTCGATGAGAGCATGCAAGGATTATGAGTCGACGAGTCGTTGAGTCGTTCCGAGGTTGAGACTCATAGACTAATCGGTAGTCTTAGACTAGTGCTAGACTAGTCGACAAACTACTGTAGTAGTCAACTACTAATACCTAGTAGCAGTATGTAGTAGTATGTAGTAGTATATACAATAAAACCAGCAGTGAGTGCTAGCCAACGCTCGCCAGGCCTAGCCCAGTGCCGCTCAGCACCCACCCCCAGCTGGCCCATTTGGGCCCAAGTAGCCAGCCTACTTAGCCTACTTCCCATCCCAGCCTCTGTAACCCTAGCTCCCGATCGATCCGGTCGCCGCCGCCTGCGTCATCACGCACAGAAGCACGCGTGCGCGACCCGCGCCTCCGGCCGCCGCCGCCGGCGAGCCCGCAAACCACCGCCGTGCATCCTCTCCTCTCCTCTCTCTCTCTCTCTCTCATAGGGCCACACGCGCCAACGGGGCACGGCCATGGCCGCCGCCCGAGCACGAGCTCCGGCCGGCTACCGCGCCTTGCTTCGCCATCCGCCGTCCCGGCGGCGGGTCAGTGGGTGCTGGCGGTGGCCTCGTCCAGGCGGCTCGTTCTCATAGCTCGCTCTCCAATTTCCCCCTCCCAAATTTGAGTCGAGCGACTCAGACAGCAGGACTAGTCCAGACTAGTCGTAGACTAGTCTCTCAACCGCTCGACTCATCGAATTAGTCTACACGAGATTCGCAGTCAACACCACAGTTGCGACTCATAGACTAGTCCATCAACTAGTCTCGACTAGTCCTTCGACTCGTAATCAGTGAGAGCATGCGTGGGCCATATCCCTGGCACTTGCCACCCTATCATGCAATGACCCATGTCCAATCCACTCAAGCCCTCGCTACAACCCCTCCATCAGAGAAAACGCATAGCTAGTCACCTGTCAAACTATGGAAGGGGAACATGCCATGGAGGCTCCAGATCTGGCACCTGATTTGGAGACTCGGCTAGATGTCAAGCGACCATGCCATCAAGGCGGCACAGTAGGCGCCCAAGCCATCGGGCCTGCCATCGAGATAGCCGGACCCGACCACTAGGCCGCCGGAGGAACGTCGCGGTGGAGGGGAGACACCAAGAGCAGAGCGGGGACACCGAAGGCCCTCCTGGCCTCGACCATCCTGCTCCAGGCTGATGGACACCCACAACAAGGGGAGGAGGAGCACCCGATGGCAGTGCAACAGAGGCTAGGGTTAGGGTTAGGGTCGCATGGGATCTGAGAGTAACAGCGGAGGAGACGATAGCCCGCCGCCGCCAGCAGTCGCACGGGGCTTTGGCCGACAGCTCCAGCAAGCATGGCCGAGGGAGGCAGGTGGAGGAGAGAAGCTGGCATGGGATGAGCAAACTAAAATGTTGATGCTTCACAAAAAACAATGCACCATATAGTGCTTGCTAGAAGGATGAAGAGTATGCAGTTTGCATAAATGTTATAACTAGGCATAGTAAGCAATCCATTGGGCACATATATCATAAATAATCTTTTAAAGGATTCGAGTATATCTAGTAAAAATAGTACTAGAAGCTAACAATATTGAATAATTTTAAAACTTATTAGTTTTGACCTACCGAAGCTATCAATAGCCAATGACACTTCTTCCTCGGTAAAACCCATCTGAAGCAAATGAAGCGTTTTATCCATTACCCCAAACAATGATTCAGCTTTTACCTGTAAAAGTGCGTTTTGAAGTTAGAAATTGTAGCCTTCAACCTAAAAGGTCCTCACATTTGTATGCAATTTAGAATCCCATATACTAAGTGTTAAAGAAACAAAAGCTAGAAACATAGGCAATAACTACGATGGATGTTAGCAATCATGTCTAAATTTCATACTACAGCCGTTGACTATTATTGTTGTTAACAAGGAAATGCATATAATACAGACTAGTAGATAGTGATTATTGAACAAGTTCTTTTGGGTATACACATGGAAACCTAGAACGCATGGAAATAAGCCACAGTAAACAAGCACATCGGAAAAGAATTGCAATAGAAATAACAAAATTACGGATGGTACTTATTATTTGATAGAGATAATATGAAAGTCTTTTCAAAAACACATTTATGGGGTTCGTGCTGGAAGCCGTTTTCCCGTGTTAGACGGTATGTTATTTTTAGTCTCAAACCAATAATCATAGTACAAAGCAAATGACTATTGAATTTTGCAGAAAGAACGTATTATAAAAACAATTCATTGCTCATGTAGTCCATATTGTAAAGGGCCCATGGAATAGCTAACTCTTAAGTATACTTCATGTCTACAAATATCAAGATTTAGAAGTAGAAGTAGCAAAGAGAAACAAAAGGAAAAAAAAACCTCATTTGTAGCATGGCCATTTTCCATATCTCCCGATAATACTCCTCCCTGAGCAGTGACAATGAAATCTACAAGCTGATCAAGTAGTGCATCCTCACCTAAAAATAAGCATATATTGGAGTACTATTGTTATAATGAATATAATGAGAGAAAAATCAATATTAAACACTACTAAATTGACTTCGATACATATTTACAGTAAACAATGTTGTGATAAGACTATGTGTGCTCTTGGTACACCTATACAACAACAAAGCCTTTAGTCCAAACAAGTTGGGATAGGCTAGAGATGAAACACATAAGATCTCAAAACAAACTCATGGTTCTGACATGCTAGAGCTGAAACTCATAAGATCTCGAAACCAGTTCATGGTTCTGGGACGTGGATAGCTAACTTCCACAGACCCTATCCATGGCTAGTTCTTTGGTGTTATTTTAGTCATTCAGGTCTATATTTACGGACTTCTCCCATGTCAAGTTTGGTCTACCTCGACCTCTCTTGACATTATCAACACACTTTAACCATCAACTACGCACTAGCGCTTCTAGAAGCCCACGGGCCAGTTCTTTTGGTGCTTATGGCTGACTGTAGAAATAAGCTGCCCCCTCCCCAACTTATTTTAGAAGCCTAACCAATCTTTCTTTTAGAAGCCTACTAATTAAGGGTGCAGCTTATTTCCACAGCCAACCATAAGCCCCCAAAGAACTGGCCCTATATTGTATATGCCCAAACCATCTCAGATGATATTGGACAAGCTTCTCTTCAATCGGTGCTACCCCAACTCTATCACGTATATCATCATTCCGGACTTGATCCTTTCTTGTGTGGCCACACATCCATCTCAACATGCGCATTCTGCTACACCTAACTGTTGAACATGTCGCCTTTTAGTCGACCAACACTCAGCGCCATACAACATTGCGGGTCGAATCACCATCCAATAGAACCCGCCTTTAGCTTTTGTGGCACTCTTGTCACAGAGAACGCCAGAAACTTGGCGCCACTAAACAATCAAAAATATATATATAATTGCTAGGTTTACAAGTCAATGCAGAATCACAAACCTAATTGGTCGAATGCTAAATCGACTTCCGTCTGAGAGAAGTTCATTGTGCGGAGTAAATATGACCTCCTTTCTGAGAAAAAATCTGGCTCCGGCTGAAGTTAGGAGCATTCAGAATTGTTAGTCTAAAGAATTCAAAACAAAGAATATGATGATAACAACTATGGCTAGGAAATCACCTTGATATCTTGTTTAGAACTGTTTTCTTCATTGTCAGAATCAAAGAGACTGCCTAACGAACTTGACGATTCGGATCCAGAATTCTGAGGCGCATATAGCATCAAGGTAATTTGAGAAATATGAAGAGCATGAATTTAGATCTCTTTCACAATTTGCAACATATAATACCATTAATGAAAATTGAAAGATGAGAATGCCAGATTTGACACCAGCCAATATCCCTCTAAATAAGACATCATTCTAACTCCTTGTATATGTTCTCACACTAGCAACTAGCAACAATAGAAAAAATGAAGGAATGGCCGCATAGAAGAAACAAAAGCTTAAACACTGATGACGAGAATTAGCCCTCTAAATAAGACATCTTTCTGTCTTCTAGATATCCTCAAATAAAGTTACACTAGCAACCAGCAACAATACAGAACAAAAGAATAACTGCACAAAATAGAACAAAACAAAAGCAAACTTATCAACAACGATAATTTCAAGGTTCGTGAGATGCAAAAATATGAAGTACAAGATCTTTACAGGATGGATCAAGCACCGATATTAGTGTGCAAGAAAAAAATCTAAGGAAATAAGAATTCTTCAGTATCAATCAACAACAACAACAACAACAAAAATCTAAGGAAATAAGAATTCTTCAGTATCAATATTGAAATATATTCTTTTTGCGGGGGAATATTGAAATCATTAACATTCTATACAATATTTCCCATTCTATACAATTTTTCCTGCTATTACTTTTTAACCAGAATCAGTAATCTATTTACGATCATGAAAAGGATTAGGGCCATGGTAGACTTTTAACAGCAAACTACTCAATCGAAGACTCAAGAAGGGATAATTTTACTATAAAAGCAGAACATAAACACTACGACTGTACCAACATATCACCTAGAGAATGCATGGGAAAATCAGAATCACTTACATGATGAGACAAAAGTGACTCCAATACAGTGTTAGAATCATGATCACCTGTATTGGAGATATGTGTGTGGTTAGTCTATAGATCGAAAGGTATTTGCTCTAAGTTAACTGTGTGTTCATTGCTGTAAAGGTTTCATATCGCTGTACACATAAAAAACATTTTGTAAATTATAACATACCATGTTTTTGAAGCATTTTGTCAACCAGTATCGGTGAAAATCCCATACCAATAAAGTGTGACCTTAAATAGCTGGATGAAGAGCCTGGCTGACCATCCTAGAGTAAGAGTGAAGAACATCATGTCATTTTTACAACTTCACTAACAACAATCCAATAAAAGGGAACAATGTCACAAAATTGTGGTAGTCCTACCAATTTGCGATTCTCTGATTCTATTTGCAATATAGAAAAGGTGTCCAGATAGCATTCTATTACTCTCAAATACTAAACACCGTAAATCCACTGTATGACTGTTAGTGCTCCAATCTTAAAATACGGACCACATCCAACACAAGAATCAAATTTATAATAACTCCTTGTATTTTGGCGCTACGATACATGTGTTCAAGTGAAAGCAAAACAGGACAGGTGAAAGGTTTCCATGGAGAAAAACAGAAACTTGACATTGGTGGTTCAGTTAGAAGCACCACTTTAAGATCCAAGACAAATGTACATCACTAGAAAAAGTACACAACATATTGATTATTACAGAATTAGGGCAAGATGACCCGACATCCTATCCGTTAAATCAATCACGTAGGAATCAAGCACATGTAGGCAGCAATTGACACTCATTATGCAATGCCTCTAAACAATCAAGTCCTGGAAACAGCCTCTTACAGAAATGTAGGGAAAGGCTGCGTACTATAGACCCAAATTGGGTCAGACCCTTCCCCGACCCTGCGCAAGCAGGAGCTACATGCACCGGGCTGCCCTTTTTAGGGAGTACGCACTAAACAAATACTACCTCCGTCCCAAATTACTTGTCTTAAATTTGTCTAAATACGAAGTAATTTGGGACGGAGGGAGTATCGATTACTCAGCCCGCATACTTCCCCTGGTTTTCCCCCAATCCATTAACAGTAGTTTACCGCAACATTCAGATAGCACATACATCAATCGCCTCCTCCGCCTTTACGGCAGTGGGTGCCGGAGCCGGATTGGGCTGCGGCGGGTCGGCGGCGCCATCCCCATCACAATCTTCGATCTTGACCTGCGTTTAGTGTGGCAAGAAAAGGCCGCGAGTCAGCACAAGGGCGGGCGGAAAGAGGAACACGGGTGAACAGAGGAACCAGCCGCTACCATCTCGATCGAATCCACCTCAGACAGACCCCCTGCGGAAGAAATGGTGATGACGACAGTGGAGTGGTGTGCACAGGAGTGAGGTGAGTGAGGTGGTGGTCGGCCGGAGCCGAGCAGGACACGGGCACGCGGTCAAAGCCCTAGCCGCCGCATCGCGGAGTGGAGGACTGGAGGTGGTCCTGCCTCCTGCGGCGACGACTCCGCCAGAGAGCTTTTTTTTTATGTCTACTACTAGGGGTTGGGGTTGCCTCTCACTACCACCAACTCTGCAAACCCTATAGTACTTACGGTCGTGAGCATGGACCGAGCAATTAATCCTGCACTAGTAGGGTGCCCGTGCGTTGCCACGGGCCTTTTAATCTTTTATTCTGGTTGCACATATATACGTGTATTATTGTATATAATTCGGTGAATTTTAGGCCACTTTCAACAACACTATGCTGGAAACCTTGTCAAAGGATTCCTTTTGAATGTCGACATCATACATCTTCATCTTTCTCATACTCCGCAAAAATAAGTATATATGAAAATACATCTTCTATATTGTCATGTGCAACAAATATATAAAGAAGAACCACTATTTATATATGTCTCTTCTAATTGTGGAGTTTTCAGTCCGCCAATCATAAAGCTTTGTCAATTGACATTTTCAAAGCATCATGCGAAGCCATAGTTCTTATTTCTAATCAACAAAAGCGATATATAAACACATATTAAAATAAAAAAATAAGATAAGCCCATATACAATATATGTAGTCCGAGTGAGTGGCATCTGCTTTTTAGTAGAGTAAGTCGCATCCGAATTTTAGTAAGGAACTCATTTGGTAATTATTCTCCAGAAATGACTGGCTAGGGTATATGTTATTTTCACTGTATAAAAAGGTATGTGATATTTTTCTCACAACAAACAGTTGCTTTTCCCACAAAAAAAAGCAAACATCAGCTCCTTTTCTTCTCACCTTACAATAAACAAAACAGTTCAATCTCTGACTCTCATGGCATGGCAGAACGTTCACACTCACATCTCATTCTCCCTGCCTGCTCTCCTTGTCACGGCTTCGTCGCCACAATCTCTCCTCACCATGGCCTCTTGCTGCTGCTTCCCCTCAACGCCACGTCATTCAACCCGCACCTTCCTCTCACCGCCATCTCTCCTTCCCTCCACGGTGTCACCCGCCCCCTCCTCTCCCCTCCACGACATCCTAGGCCAATTCCCGGTGCTAAGGAATGCACATCGTCGTAGCTCAGAGTGACCACCACAATGTGTTTTTGCTGCCATGACATATGAAATGGTATATATCATGCGCTCATTTTGCTTCTTTTTTTGAAATAGCTATTGTCGAGGTATGTCCCCGTGCGTTGCTACAAGGTCAAACTTTATTGAGGGAATAAGAGGAGCATAAGGGGACAAACGTAAAGAAAATCAAATAACCGAAAGAAGATTATGTGGAAATAATCAGAGATAAAACATGTTTTTCTTACTCGACAAAGGCGATGCATGTGGAGTGCACACAATCACTGAACAACCTTGGTCGAGCAACCTTAATGAAAAGTAAAAGCACCACAGTTCATTCATATGAAAACATGTTCAAAAGATAAAAGCATTTGAACACATCTGGCCATAAATTCCTTGGAAGAGTAAGTAAATATGATTGAAACATGAAGGTAGCATATGTGCATCGGTGATTAAATAATGAGGCGTGCAATCAAGGGAAAATAATAAAATGTTGGGTTTTTGCTCGAAAATAACACCTTGATTAAAACTTTCTTCCATCATCATCATGCTAAATTTTGCAGTTAATGGGGTATATCATAGATCAACATCATATCTGTTTTTACGTGTTTCAAGGTGGGGTTCCATTTCATGTTTCTTTGTGCTTCTAGTGTAGAGGAGTTTATATTTCACATATATCAAAAAGTAACCTTTGTATTCCATAAAATAAGTTTCAAATAGATTTTAGTGTATTAGCAGTGTTCTTCAAAGAGTGCGTTAATAGTGCTAACTTTCCAATGTCAATTGATCAAGAAATGGAAGTTAAAAAATTAGTTTGTACTTGTAGTTGCATGCAACTGTGCGGACGGATAACCATTGGGAGATAAATATCAGGAATCATTAACTAAAACTGGTGATAGTTAATCCGTATGGTGTGAAATATCTTGACAAGATCATAAAACAACCAAATTGGACCGTTATCAGGTAGCCACGACCCACCCCTGAGAACAAACTCAGAAAAATATGTAAAAGATATAGCTAATATAGCGACCATATCCACGTCCATAATACAACCATAATGCATATCCACGTCCATGTCTTCCTGATATGCTTCTACGACACACTTCTCTAGGACTGGACTTAAGAGGGCTACTACACCAACAAACATAAGCATCCGATAATTGCCTATTCTTCTGATTTATTTGTAGGTTTTTATACTATACCAAGGTTGGGGGCTACGAAGAAGTGAATCTTGAGGAGGCGTCATCGACTGTATTGAGGACTCTAGATCTCTGATCGATCATCTTAGTGCAAGGAGCCACACCATCTGTAAACCATTGTAGGATACTACAAAATGGATGAAATTTCATTCAACATAAGTGCACAACAATAGTAAGTCATTCAAGGGAAATCTTAACAAGTAAACAAATTAATGTTACCATTATTCAGAAAGGAAAGATGCCTACTCATTTTGAAAAGAGTATGCCTACCCATTTATAAAAGAGCATGCCTACTCATTGTCGTAGCCTTGGTGTCATCAGAAAGAGCCTATCTATGTAATAAAACGCTCACTGGAAAACCTCAATTGCAAGAGCAATCAGGTAGCAAGGCTCAAACAAAAGATGTAAAGCAACAAGTGATATATCTGATTGTCTTCCTCTCCATGTTGTGTCTTCTCTTCTTCTCACTTCCCTCTAGGCAGCAACCATCGTGATACCTATTTGCAGTGGCGGAGTTAACTAAAAAATGTTGGCGGGCTGGATAGTGCAAATAGCACCACCAAACTAAAAATCAATGCAATATTGTGGGATAAACTTCATGTAAAACTCCTTTTCGCTCTAGCCCAGGGCAGGCCATGGCCCTTTGAGCCTTGTCATAGCTCCACTGGTGCCTATTTGCTTGCCTTCCCTACCATGTTTTAGGAGTGTATGAAGGCTGGTGCAAATAATCCCAATTTACACAATGGGGAATGCCGGTAAAAGATAGATCGATTGGACTCACATAAGCTGGCACATAGTTTACTATGACTAATCACTCTGTTAACTGATGAGAGTGTAAACACATGCTGTTGGCTAGTAGCTAATACTGTAGAAATAGAAATATAATTTGGCATTGTAAAGGTGATCCCGCCACTACCTCATGTAGCAAATAAATCATAGGTATATAACGGATTGGAAAATAGAAATCTCACCGAGCAAGACCGGATATGTAGGACCCAGATCCGGTTTTGATGTCAATTATGTTGTGGCCGCTCCCAACCTTGAAGCAATGGTCTATCGTGGAATTCTTCCAGCTGCATATAAACTAAGATTTAGAAATTTGGCATGTAATTACTTCTGCAAGATGTTGAACACTCAAATTTGATAACATAGTAATTCCGCCAAAACAGAATAACTAATGACAAATAGGCAAGAATCGACAACAGCCCCGCAACATACCTCGTCTTCTTTCAAGTGACCCTAGTTGTTCTTTAATTAGTAGAAACACATAACGGCGGCTCAGACATATTCCCTCTGTCCAAACATATGAACATAATTACAGGGTAAGCAAGACTTATACGATCATGGCATAATCCACCATTTTATATGGGGTGTGGTAGTTCAAACGGCATGCCCCGATAATTTTCAAGTGTCAGATTTTTTTTAGGGCCTGAAACAACCAGTGTTACGACTCTAGGGTGCACATGATACAAGCATTAAAAAACAAGGCATTGCACCCTCTAGCATATAATGCAATCGACCTATCAAGCAAATATATCTGGCAAAGGTCAGTGTAATCCAAACCTAGCTTATGCAAACTGCAACCAAGATAAACCTTGATGAGCTTACCCAGTGGTGGTCGATAAATGACTGTAAAATCAAGAACCACTGAATCTGATTCAAACACAAAAGAACAAAGGAGAGCTTATGATATCTTGCTAGCCACTGCAGCACCACCCCTCCACTGCGACCTCCTCGTCGATTCTGCAGCCGGCAACCATACTAATGTGAGGAGATGTGGGGGCGCGGGCCGGCGAACAGAGGTTGGGAACCCATGCGGGGAGGCCGCGACGGCATAAGCAACACAAAAGCGTTGTAGATGTATGCGGCTCGGTTTAGTCGCAGGGTCGTATGTGGAGGAACTAAGGATGTTGCAGCCTGACATACAATTAGTGAGGCAAACCATTTTAAATGAAACAAACTTAGGGAGGCTGTCATTCTAAAAGAATAGTACAATTAGTTAGTGCAGCTATGAGATTCTCACACTGGATCCACAATGTCCGTTCCATGCCAACAAGCATCTGCCAACGTTACATATAAGTTTCTCTTATTTATTTTGTGTGTGGAAGTTACTTGATAGTATAACTTTGCAATCGGTATTTTCTATATAAAATATACTCTGGCATTTGAAAAGGTAGTCAAAATATTAAGATTGTGAAATGAGCCTTCCAAGGCTCAAAACGGAACCGGTAAAATCTGGCATAAGCTAGTGTTCAAATCACTGACTATCAGTGTGCACCGTTCATTGGTACCAGACACTCGGCGCTCCAGGCAGTAAAGAAACACCAAACTCATATTCTTCCTGTAAGAGAACTCACAGGGATATGTAAACAAGATGCAAACATAGCAAACATGTATGTCCAGATAATCAATTTCTGCAAATTAATCATTGGAAAACAACACTGGAGCAACACCATTCAAAGATAGTCAGGCACCAACCTGCGAGTACGGATGTACTATGCTACCTCCAGATTGTTGGAAGGGATAGACTCCCAGGATCTGGAAAACCTTGCCGCTCCAACCAATCAAAG